CAGCTACTGCAGATTTTTCTGGCTGCTGTAGTCTGCAGTGCCTTTCGTGTTCTTTTATCCTGGTATGGATGGTGCGTTTTGTGGTCCTGATGTATACTTGCCCGCAACTGCATGGGATGCGGTATACTCCTGCGGCGGTGCGGGGGTCCCTTTTGTCTTTTGTTGATTTTTGCACTTCTTGTACTTTTCTCGAAAGCCTTCGACAATACAAATCTTTATGGTGTCAAATTTTGAAAAAAATGGCTCCAAAGAGGGCAATCGGTAACTGTTGAATGAATTAGAGAGCATTCAGCAAGCTTTTCAAGCGAAAACAGGTGAACCAAGGAAAGAAAGCATCTCATGTTTTTTTAGAGATCAGCAGCTGTTGTTCTTTCACCCATGTCCAGATCATTACAAGCCTGCCAGGTTCTTCCTGTTCGGATCTGTGACAACGAATGGAAATAGTTCCTCTTTCAATCACATGCTTCCATCTCAGCAATTTTAAGATCGCCATGTTGTAAAGCATTTTCTGTTCTTTAAAAATCCCAGAGAAATCAGAAGTATCTCAGGGGAAGACATCATCATCACCATAATTTTTAAAATTTATTTATTATTTAATTTGTATGCCACCCATCTCCCCCAATGGGTGACTCTGGGCGGCTCATAATAAGGCTGACTGTGTGACCAAGCATAATAACACTTTACATCTACAATGAGGTTACATTTATGTTGTAAGTGAATAAGAATTTGTTTTTGCCAGAGGTCTACACAGAAATTCTATGAGACTTGATCTTCTGATATCTTGTTTAACTTGGAATGGGGAAGTGTGTGGGTATCAGTAAGAGCGGGTGTTAACTGCTTCTTTCCTTTGCAGACTGCTTTACCTCCATGGCAGTAGATCTGTGGTAGCTACAGGTATCTCACTACACACACACACACACACACACACACACACCTTCATGGCAACTCCTGGACAAGTTCCTGCATTTTTTTGGCAAGGATTTTGGAAGTGGTTTGCCAATGCCATCTTCTTCCTAGTGCTGATAGAGAGGGACTGGCCCAAGGTCACTCAGCTGGCTTCATGCCTAAGACAGGACTAGAACTCACTCTTGAAAAAAAAAAAAAAAAGTGTCTTGTCAAATGTTTGGGTTCCTCTTTTATCCCAAAAGACATGCAAATATGTAGAGTTGTCTCTCCATTCTTGTCATATACTTTTCCACATCTAGTTATGCCCATAAACACAAGCTGTTCTACTTCTGCTTCCTTCATCAACAATCCATTAGCAAAGCCAGAGAACAAGGGGGAAAAAAT